CTATGATAACCAAAATCTAACAAATATACAGCTTACATGCGATGAATGTTGAAAAATACGTCTTTCCAATGCAGGTCTCGTTAGCTAAAAGTAGCGCCATATTGGTAGACCTTTGACAAATTACTATCAGTAATACGCTGGGAATAACTTAAGAAGCTGGATTTGTGCAAAAAAATCTTTAGGAAGCGTTCCGTCCTGAGCCACCACATGATAACTCACGATAAGTCTGAATAGAAGTTACAAATAAGGTCAAAGAACAACTTAGTTTGCCGCGTCTGCAATGAGCATTGCAAGTCATTTGCTGGCTTCAAGAGTCATTGTCATTCTCACAAGCAATGAAACAATAGACCAAACATGTCAGTGATGGTCATATATATATATATAAAATAGAGGATGCCTGTGTATCTGTCTATCTCTCTGTGTCATACATTTTTACTCAAGATCCATCCAACCGATTTTGACCAAAATTGGGACATACATTGTACAATTTAAGAGATAGGTACTGAGCGTAAAAAATCGATAATTTTAAAAAAATGAGTAATCGATAAAGCCGATCAAAAATCGATAAATTCAACATTTTTCCTCCGATTTCGTTCAAATTCGGTATATAGGTTATGTACATCATAAGGAGCTCAATGATAACTCATTTTATTTCTACGCCACTGCGTTTAGAGAAAAACCAGGAAAAACGAAAATTTGATTTCAACAACAAATGGATTGCAACACAAATTTTAAACTAAAATCTTCCTCAATTTTCAAGCAAACTAATACAGACAAAAAGTTAATTATTTAACAGTCATTTAACTTGATAATTGAGTCCACCCATATAGAGAAAATCCACATAAATAGCGAAATGGCGATTTTTATTCGTTTCTTTCTTATTTTTCGTTGATCTTTCAACCAATTTTCATTAAACTTAACAATTGCTTTATAAATGTATCCTCTTTTACATCAATGATTGCAAACTAACATTAACATTTTCTTAAAAATGAAATGCATACTAACTATAAGCAAGACGAATTTTCCCTTAGAAACTTTACAAAGAAATATGCAACAACAGTCGAGAAAGAAAAGAAAATTAAAATATCTACTAAAAAAATTAGAACTCATTGTTAACAACAATAACTCACCTTCAAGATCCAAATTACAGAGAATCAATATTATTTATTAATTCACATGTCCATTAAGGAACTTTGTTCCTTCTCAATCCAAATTCATGAATAGTTATATTGGATAAACTACAACATACATAACAAGAAGACTCGCGTTACATCTCTCTGACTATAGCTCAATTAGGTTTCATTTAAATACGCATGGAGACTTACCAAACTCTATCTGTAACATACTCATTGATAATACAATTATAATAGCCTCACCCACATGTAAAAAAGGCTAATAATAATGGAAGCATTATTAATAAAAAAGAAAGAGCAAACACTCAATAATATCAACTATGAACACGGCCACAATATGCTGACCGTTTTTGTGAAATAAAAACATTCCTCTAGATACATACATAAAACAATCCATACATTCAATTAAAAATAAAATCATCCTTGATAATGGGTAAACGTACATTTAAATTGGTGTCGTATTCATTACGCGGAGCGACGTACCAGAATTTCAAAATCGTAACACGTGAAATCATGTTCTACATTTTAAGCTTCAAACTGACAATACTACAGACGGCCATATTGGCCAGCTTTGGGCTTTAATTCTTTTTTTTTTATTCTCGTGACGTTCGATAGTAATCGAATTTACACCTCACAATTCGGCAATATACATTGTTTGAAATTTGTTACCGTATATAATCGCGACTTTTCAAGATCTAATTTTAAAGCTAATTTTATCATACACAAGATAAAATTAGCGTATGTACTGTTGGCCCTGACTACGCCGTTGACCAAACTATGTATATATTTACTGTAGTCAAGAAGTACAGCTGTATTTAAAATGAACAGGATTTTAATAAAACGGATGTTTTATTTAACTGCATCCAATAATAATGCATGTAATAGTCACATATTAGTATCATATTATAAAATACAAAACAGCGAATATGTATTTTTTCATTGTTTACGTTTGTATTATTATTTGTACTGTTTAGCTGTTTCTCGTTCGATTGTTTATGGCTGTAGGAGTTTCTGCAACGATACTTTTATCATTCTCTTTTACGTTTTTTTTAACTTATTTAACTAGAAGATGAGATAAAGAGACAGAGGGAAAGAGATTAATCTATTGCAAATTGGTCTCTTAAAAAGAAACGCATGATACACAAGATACATGATAAAATCATTTTTATAAATGGAAATTTTGGAGTCGCACGATAGGCGAAATAATGTTACACGAGTATATAGGGTATATATTACCAAGGGGAGAGTGCTTAATATCTGCAAAATGACTGTCAGTTTCACATCTTAAACGATCATCAGACTATATATTATTGCTCCTTTCACGAACGCTATATATAGGCCAGTGGGAAAGTAGAAAAATCATGCAAAGGAGGAAACCAAACCTTACCAGTTCTTTTGTTCATGGCTAATCATTTTTCTTGCTTACACAATGTAAGGCCCAAGAGCCACTCAAGACAGAGGGTTACTGAATGAGGTAGTTTTAAAGACCTTAGAGGAGGAGGTAAGAAGTGCAGATTATGCATATATGTAGAAAAGATAGCAGTTGACCCTAGTCTTTTTTTTAAATCGTTTCATCCCAAGCAAGGTGATAAAACCCACAATGACGGAATTGAATTTAGTGAAAAGTGATGATAAAGTCCAATAAAAAATATCAGTGTTCAGGAAGATAAAAATATGGCGATTGGCAGTGCATTTACATTTTTTTAAGATTTGTAGGAAGCAGGGAAGAATGTAGGTCAAAAAACCAGAAGTACATAAAAAGAAACCGCTATAATATGGCTAATTCATCAATAAAAGGCTGATCCCAATTTAAGATCGTATTGATCGGGGAAAATATCCACTCGAGAGTTCCATGAAGCAGAATCGAAGATAACATAGAAAACTGATAATTAAATGAAATTATGTATAAAATAATAAATCTAATAAATAAATAAATAAGCAGGCCTTAAAATATCATCGTTGCTTTGTCCACGATATTCTCAGTATCCTTCTGTAGAACCACATTTTTTGTTGCTTCAAGTTTCTTTTTATCTGCGAAGGAGATTATCCAGCATTCACTGCCATATAGAAGGACAAATATTACATAACAGTTCAGTACATTTTTCTAACGATATTTTCATGTTTCTTAATACATTGTTTAGCTTTTAGAAGACATCTTTTGCTATCTCAATATGCCTTCGGATGTTAATGTCGCACTTTCCGTCCTCTGTCTAAATACTTCCCAAATATTTAAATTGTTGCACGTACGTGTTTTCTTTTGGTATCTGTAATTTGTAATTTGTATGTTGGGCTGTTTTGTTATTTTTTCTTCTAGCTAAGAATCATGCATTCGGTCCTCTTGCAAGAAGATTCAAACTAATTATTAAATCCATAGCGGTGCTAAACATTTGGTTTATATATATATATATATATATATATATATATATATATATATATATATATATATATATACCGGGTGTAACATCAAAATTGTCCAAATCGTGTAAAAGCAAAATTGTCCATTTATTGAATTAAGCTTTTGGACTGTCATAACTGAAACTCCTCTCTCACGTGCCAAACGTCTCATGGATTGAGTTGGATCTTTTCTAATTGAGCCCTTTAAATCTAAGTGATGATCCCTCTTCCTGTTGTGACCTCCTGATCCAGTTTTCCTTTCTACTGTTCCCTGTTTTTTAAACTTATTCCCCGTTCCCTTGATGGTTCCTGAATGGACTTTGAAGATGAAAGCCAGAGTAGTAACGTTGGCATAATTCCTGAAGGCATGAATGATCTTTTTTCCTCTTACCATTGTTCATTTGGGAAGACAGTGGAGCTGACACAAAACGATTTCAACTTTCCTCTTTCTAGTTGAATAACTCAAAATGTTTCTAAGTGCTTCTTACGACAAATGGTGTCAACATCACATTTGAAAACCTGGAAAAAAACCTCAATTAGTTTAGTGTTTTTAGATATTAAACAATTAGATTTGGATAATTTTGCTGTTGCACCCGGTATATATATATATATATATATATATATATATATATATATATATATATATATATATATACGAATTCTTTCGTCGGTTAAAATAAGCCTATTCCTCATATGAGGTAAGTTTACATTTTATTGTTTATTAATTATTTGCTCTGTAATAATAAATACATTGAACGCTTTTTGTGGATCAGTTTTAATATTTTATATTACTAGGATCCACTTGGATTATATACCAACGGATTTATTAGCTTTACTATATATACTGAGTTATCATCCTTCAGCAGAGAGAAACAGCTAATTCTAGCGTAATGTTTTTACAAATGTAAACAAAACCCAATCAGTCGGAGGGCTTCAATTCATTTTACTGAAGAACTTTGCATCAGTACAAGTGGCTGTTGTTTATAGAATCAGCTTATCTCTCAACAGTGCTGAATTGAAATATATATTTTCAAGAGCTTAATTATGTCATTCGCAGACATTTACACCTTACTTTCCTGTTTTGATGAAAGTAACCGAAAATAATACGATATATAGAAAATCATCCGACCAGACACGAATTCGCATTGTAAAGTTTTAATAATATCGAAGATTTTACAAACCCGGAGAAATACATTGACTAATGAATATGCAGCAGTAACAATTATTAATATTACTAATATCATAATATTACTAATATCATAATATTACTTACATCATAACTTCAACAGAAGACATTATTTTCCTATCTTAAATTAATTTGTTTTTTGTCTTCACAAATATCACTTACACGATATTTTTCCTTATGGGAAAATTCGTTATCTAAGTCTTCAGTTGTCATAGCAACCAAAAGAATCAACCAATTCCTTCTTTGCTTTCTTCTAAAATTCAAACTCTGTCATTTCACACGCCAACATGCACCCCCTCTCCCATCAAGTTTGTCTGTTTACTTGTCTCTCTCTACGCCTGTCTGTCTCCTCCACTCTCTTCTTATATGTCTGACGGTCTCTCTTTCCCTCTCTATGTAAGTTGGTCTATCTGCCTCTCTCTATTTCCCTCTCATTTTCTATTTCTATATCTGTCTATCTCTTCCTCACTCCCCTTGTATATCTATCTGTCTCTATTCTCTCTTCATACGCGTACCTGTCCTTCTTTCCCTGCATGTTTAACTCTCTCTCTCTCTCTCTCTCTCTGCCTCTCCCTCTTTATCCTTGGTTATCTGTCTATCTCTTCCTCACTCCCCTTCTATATCTGTCTGCTTTCTCTCTTCATATCTGTAGCTATCCTTCTTTCCCTCTATGTCTCTTTTTCTCTCCCTCTTTAACCTTGACTATCTATCTCTTCCTCACTGTCCTTGTATATCTATCTGTCTCTTTTGTCTCTTCATATCTGTACCTGTCCTTCTTTCCCTCTATGTCTAATTCTCTCTCCGCTCTGTCTCTCTCCCTTTATCCTTGTATATCTATTTCTTCCTCACTCGCTCTATATATCTCTGTCTCTTTTCTCCCTTCATATCTGTACCCCTCTCTCTCTCTCTCTCTCTCTCTCTCTCTCTGTGTGTGTGTGTGTGTGTGTTTCAGCATGTGGAAATAGTTTGAATTTGATTTAGGATAAGACCTTATCAGTAAAAACAACCCTTATTTCTCTCTGACGCAGACTGATTCTTAGATTAATAGAATTTGTTTCGAACAGAAAAATTAGAATGGTGCATTTCACAAAGGTACACCTTCAAATAGTTCCATTTCTGGTCTCAACCTGTTCAAGTCTAGAGTTAACCGTTATCTTTCCCTTCTATCCGTACAAAATGTAATCCTCTACCTCGAGTGGCCCTCGAGGTTTGAACAGGATGAACCTTAATGAAAAACAAAATGATACCACTGGATAATCATCCATAACTTCTTAAACGGACCAGGAAACGTCTTAATAGTCATCTTTTATGTGTCGGCTTATTACGCCGAGCAAGGTCAGTAAAAGAAATAAAATGTCTATTGGTCATCCTATATTAATGGGTTGCCATGAAACGAATCTAATCCAGTCTTTCTAAGGGTGGGTCCTTTTTACAAAATAAATTTGATTGTATTTCTTATTACTCATACAAGATTCAATTCCAAACGTTATTTTTTATTTATTTATTTTTCTTGCTTTTTAGGAAATTGAACTTTTTGTTCATTTCATTATCTTTTGTTATAACAAAATATTTCTTTTTTTTAAAAAACATTTTTTTTTTATTATTCTCGACTTGGACATTTTACGGTTAAAATAGCGTGGGTGGTTCTTTTCTTTTCTTTTTTCTTCTTTTCATTTTCTTTTTTCTTCTTTTCTTTTTCTTTTTCTTTTTTCTTTTCTTTTTTTCTTTTCGTTTTTCTTTGTCTTTTTTTATTTCTAATTCTTCATATGCTTCGTCGTTTTGTTTTCTTAATTTTCTTTTATTTAAATTTTTGGTGACATCTCTAGAGTGTATAGCCTTTCACAAGGCCATTAATTTGCACGTCTGTCGATCTACAGATAGCGCTAGATGTCGTGCATTGGAGCTTATTTCCTTCTATTTATTATATATATATATATATATATATATATATATATATATTATTTTAGGTTTCTCTATTCGATTCAGAATGTTCGCCTTTGAAAATTGGTTGTTATCCTTACAAAGTTTCAGCCGTTGTAACTCCAACCATTATCAGGAGTCTGTTGTCTTAAACGTTAACAATCTTTGAAATTTGAACAGAATTCTTTATTCAATCAGCATGAGTAGATTGTTCTCATTTTATTTTCTATGCTTAGGGTATATTCAATATCAATTAATGCCAATTTGATTCGCATTTGTATTGTTTAACACTTTCTTCCATTAAATCATTCCAGTGCTCACAATTGCATCTCTTTTATCAGATTCCTCTTCTTTCGTTCCCGTTTGATTTTTCCATTCAGTTTATTCTGTTTTACGAAGTTGCAGTTAATGCTTTGGTTATTTTTTTATCGGGTAGCCCAATTCCTTGTACATTATAAAGATAAAACTATACTTATCAAATAAATCCTTTGCAATGTAAAAAGTTTATATCAGTGAAACATCACGTGATCTAAAAGTCCGTGTCTACCAAACACAAAAGAGTTTTACGTTTAGACAGCCATTAAAACTCTCTCATAATACACAGGAACGAAGCTGGCTATAATTTTTATTTTACTAATGTCAACCTAATTAAAAAAAGAATATAATTCTTTACAGAGAAAGTACTTCGAGAGTCTACTAATAAAAATATTACTAACTACAAAGACACATCAGAAACATATTAGGTCAACAACCCTTATGGAATTCATTATTAAAGAATTTAACCTATGTTTATCTACAACGAACGGTATGTACATAAAAACGTTCCCAAATCAAGAAGCATAATGTCTAGTAGACATACACATAATTACGAATATACGTTATCATCTGATACTTACATAGATAAACCAGAAATTTTATACACTTACATACATAAAGCAATATTTACGGTTATTCAGTTAGGCTTGGCATCCGTTAATTTCTCGAAAGTTCGGATGGACGCGTCGTCTCTCCTTGAATTCGGAATGCCACAAATTATACTAACGTTGGTTTAAAAGAGTCGAATGCACGTGAAACCAATTTTATATCTGTTCACATTAAAAACAACTCGTGCCAACACAATCCTCAAGGCGTCTCAAGACACGGCATGTGTACATCCAATTCCGAGTTAATATTTCACGTTCAAGGGTGCAAACGATGTATTGCAACAACTTACTATTACTGCATATTATATAATCAACTATCAATTTCTACTATTATAGTAATTAACATTACCTAATTTGGTAAAACGGGGAATGCAATAAATGCAGTACATTTGTACAAAGAGGCGGTGTCACATGTTTTTATTTTCGGTAGCGCCATCAGAACCCATCAGCTCAACAGAATTTAGGAAAAAATTGTCAAAAGGACGTTTTTTCCACTGACACCGCCTGTTATTTTCAGCAGTGTTTATTATTTTAAAAAGCAATGGTTAAAATTGTAATAAAACCTGAGCATGTGATGAAAGTGAAATTATACACTTATACATATGTTGCAGCATGCCTACGGACGATAATGTGTATGTCTCCATTCACATAATTACAGTAGTAAATACTGTATGTTGGTCTGCAGTTGGAGATTCATCTCCAGCTGTGCTAGTCAGACTCTCTGCCCGGGGGCAGAGACGATCCTCAGACGAGGCTATGTCGAAGGTCAGAGTCTCGTCTCGGAAGACACCTACCCGAACCCGTTTTATACGATGTCTACGGGGAATATTTTGCCGAGCGTACGGGCTCGGATACCGCACATTAAACTCGGCCTTGTTCCACATCTGACAACGTGGGGCGGTTGGTAGATATCCTGCAGTTGGAGATTCATTGTGGAATTCACTTGACTCAATTCTATCAGTTGACTTCTACTTCTACGCGCCGCTGGTGAATCTTATATGAGTTGTTCTTGTCCTAAGTATTAGCGTTCATTACTAACCTTCGTTTGATTATTCTATTCAGTAACCTTCCCTAGGTTACAACAACATTTATATTTTGTTCTTGAGAATTTTCAAAAGAACTATTAAACATTATTTATTTATTAGATCTATTTACAAGAATAATTTTATATTTATAACATTATAAAAATTAATTAAAACTAATGCAGTTCAATATTTATCATTTACCAATTTATAAGAAAATAAATACGAAAACAATTGTTTATTCATAAAAATTTACTAAATTATCAAAATGCTTATTATTTACCATTTTATAAAGTTCGAATCGAATTGCATTTCGCCAATTTTTTGCCCGCCATTTGTAATAATCGATATAATAAATAATTAGAACAAACTCAACTGGAATTCGAACTCGACGACTCCGACTTCTTAATCCAAACCGCTATCCATTACTACACCGTGCTTCCCAATTCATATGCCTTGAAATATATAAAATAGAATTCTATTAATTCATTAATGAATTGTCGTCATCAGTGACACAGGAGGATTGTCGTATTTAATTGGTTTGTTACCACAATGAATGAAAGAGAGAATAAATGTAAAAGTTGCTACAACAAAGTATTATTATACTAATACAGTTCTACTAATTTGTCTATTTGTTTCGGCAAACATGGACAAATTTGCCTGCAATAAGACGGAATTTCAAAAGGATGATTTTTTTTTGTTTTTTTTTTTCTCATGGCATAGTTATTATTTTAACTACCTTCATCGTTCGGCAATGTTTATTGTTTTAAAAAGCAGTGTTTAGAATTGTAATAAAATCTAAACATAGGAAAGTGAATTTATAAATTTTCTTTTGTTCTTCAGAATTAACAGCAAAAATAATAATAAACAATTTATTTATTAAATTGTTTAATTACACTATTTTTTATTATTTATTAGAATGGCTGAAAAAAAATGGCTAATTACCAATTGATTCCAACTTTATAAAATGATAAATATTTAGGATTTCCTAATCGTTGGTTCATATATTTTAATAATTTAGTAAATTTATGAATAAAAAATTGTTTTCATATTCCTATGGTCAAACATAAATATTGCATTGCATTAGTTTGAAATGGATTTCTTTTAAAATGTTGTAAATATAAAATTTTTGTTGCAAATAAACGATCTAATAAATAAATAGTGTTTAATATTTTGCTGTAAATTCTCAAGAACAAAAAATGTATCAGTTTAATTTCATCATGTTTTTGTTTTATTATAAATCTGATAATCCCTTTTTAAAAACAATCAATATTGCCGAAGAGTGACGGTAGCTACAATAAAAACAGTGTCATGAGGAAAAAAAACGTACTTCTAATACTCCGTTTTTGATCGGGAACAAAGGTCCTTCTTTTCTTTTTATGTTCCATCTCCTTTCAGGACGTAGGCGATCATAGCTCTCCACCTCCCTCTATACCTTTCAGCTCTCAAAAAGTTCCTTCCTTCTGCTTCCTCCCCAAGACCACATTCTGTCATCCAATTGCTTAAGTCTTTCCCTCTATTCAACCTGTGAGTATCAGATTCTCCAGGCCCTCCTTCCTCATTATGTGTCCCAGAAACTTCAGCTGCCTCTTCCTGATGTTAACTATAAGCTTCCTCCTTCTTTGCATCGTCGCTAAGACATCATCGTTGCTCACACGCTCGGTCCATGATATCCTTAACATGCTTCTGTAGAACGACATCTTTTCGTCTCGAGTCCCTTCATCATCTTTGAAGAAATCATCCAACATTCGCTGCCGTAAAGAAGGACAAATGTCACGTAACAGTTCAATATTCTTTTCTTTGTTACCAAAAATATCCTCCTGTCTCGCAGTACTCTGCGTCCTTGGCCATCCAAATACGTCTACGGATCTCAGTGTCGCACTTACCGTCCTATGTCAAGACACTTCCCAGGTATTTCAACTTCCGCGTCTGCTTGATTCTAGTGTTCCCGACCTTCAGATCGCATTTCAAGCTCATCCTTTTACTGACGACCATACACTCCGTCTTCTTGTAGTTTATGCTTAGTCCCTTCTTCTCACTCTCCGTCGTTACCTTCTGTAGGAGATTTTGTCATTTCATTTCCGTGTCTGCTATCAGTACTGTGTCATCTACGTATCTTATGTTAAGGTTGTGGTCCGCCAATGCTAAATCCCGGTAGGGTTTCCAATTCTCTCAGAATTGCCTCGCTGTATAGGCTGAACAGGTCGGGTGAGAAGAAGTAGCCTTGCCTTACGCCCCTTTCTGTTTTTGTATATTCATTGAACTCGTTCCCTATGCGCATGCATGCCGTTTGTGGCCAGTATAGGTTCTTGATTATTCTGATATCTTTCCCGAATATATCAAGGTTTCTGAGCAGCTCCATCATTTGTCGAAGGCCTTTGCATAGTCTATGAAACAAAGGTACATGTCCTTCTGCATCTGTATCGCTCTTTCTGATAACATGCTGAGTCCATGTTTGCCAAATAGTGAATGTTTATTGGGTCTAAAGTTCACTCCAAATCATTCATTATTAAAAATATTAGGAAAAGAGGTCTGCTTATGCTTCTATCCCAGCAAGCACTTAACTCCTTCTGCTATGAGTTAGCTTGACAAGAGTCAGATTAGAGCAAAAATGTTGTTTTGCTGCCATATCTGGACTGGAGTTGCTCTATCTTCATTTTCCAGTCTCGATGTCTCTCTCTGTAACGGCATTCACCAGGGGTGGGTTGAGCCGGCTCCAATATTGGAGTTTCATGGGAATTTGGAATTCACAAGCGGTCCCCAAATCAGCATGTATAACACATGAGATTTGATTATAGTGGTGACGGTTTCGTGCAGAACCATCCACACTTTTTGAAGGGCCGAATACAGAGACCTGGTGCACTACATGCCACAAGGCCCCCAAACGCAGGTTTTGAATTCAGAGTTTTCCTTCTCTCAGACCAGGCTATAGAACCCAGTCTGTCCTGCTAT